ACAGAGTTAGAAACAGTTAGAAAAGGAAGAATTTTGAAAGAGAGAGACAGCTACTGGGTTTGTTCGTTTTAGCTACACTGGGGCTGCTCTGGGTCTGCTCTACACAGGATAATACAGGACAGATAAATAGTTTGTCCTGTATTATCTTGTTTAGAGCAGACCCAGAGCTGCCCCAGTGCAGCTAAAACGAACAAGCTTACTGTTTGTCGATGAGATCATCATGCTCTTCCCTTCCTTCATCGCTCCTCGCCTCCAAGCTGTTTCTAGCTCCCCCCTTACTTCATCGTCCCTCGCCCACAACCGGTTTTCCTGAGGTAACCTTCTCTCTATAGATCTTGGATCTGTGTCTCCTAGATGAAAAGCTCCCCTCATCACCTAATGCTCTTTCCAGGTCTTCCATGCCCTTAGGCCGAATTCCCACTGAGCGCGTCACGCGTCGCGTTATCCGTTGCGTCACGAATTAACCAATCAAGACATCTCATTTTATTGCATCCATTTGCCGCGCGAATAAAATGGAATGTTTTGATTGGTTAATTTGTGTGACGCGCTCAGTGAGAATTCGGCCTAAGCCTCATGCATGCAGCTCATGCAGATAATGGCCGCGTTCAGCAGAACAACCGCTGAATTGTCGTCTGTTGGTTCTAAAAGTAAGAGCCAATCACGTTCGATTGCTACCAAGCCATTTGTTCTGCTAAACGCGCCCAATATATTTTAACGCGAAATTTAATTGATTAAGTTTAGATGAAACTAACTAGATTAGTGTAGATTCCTCAATAGCGGATAAAATTACCACTACAATTCTTTTTGGTGAAGAAGAAGAATTATATACAATTAAAATATCAACTGAAGAATATGAACGAATAATGAATGGAGGTAAATCGATTATTAACGATTCTTTTATGCCCATTTCCACGAATGTAGATTAACTTTAATCTCGGTTTAACTTACTCTTCATCTTTTTTTAGTTCTAAGAATTAGAAAAAGGTAAAGAGTAAGTTGAACCGAGATTGAAGTTAATCTACATTGGTGGAATTGGGCATTATCCTATGAAAAAAAACTCAGTATATCCAAATATTTTTTTTTAAATAATTCTTTATTTCATTAATGTGAGTAACTTTTATGATATTTGATTAATAGTTAAATACTTTCTTGATATTTTAAAAATATAATTTAAAATATAGCTTGATATTGAAAATATAACTGTATTGATTTATTGCAAGATTTTGTCTATTCTATTTTATGTTATGTATGCTAACGTTATATGTTAGGTTCATCTATATATAATATTTGTAAGTCAATTCTGTAGTTTAAGATAGATTTTAGATTTTATGTTTGTATTTTTAGTTACCACCAGTGTATTTGAAGTTTTTAAATGAATAACATCATATATAATGTAATACTATAGATTGGAGTATATTGGAGCAAACAACACAATAAATCTTAGCCAGTGCTCTCTGTTTTGTAACAAAGAAAACGTAACAAAGGATTTTAATAAAATATTACGTTAAAATATAAAACAGATTTATTAAACTCGTTTGTTTTACTTGGATAAAAATAAAATTACAGAACAAACGTTCAGAACACGTTCAGAAGAATGTATCTCATGCAATATCAAAGAGTATGAATGAAATACATACACCTGATAAATAAATATCATTCATTTGTGTATTAATTTTTGTATTCACTCCTGAAAACTACTTTAATATGACACACGATAAAATACAATCCAATATTAATTACAAATTAATATAAAGTATTACAGGACAATGGTCACTGCCATAAACTTGCTTCCTTATAATGTTATCACACACTTTACCCTTAATTCGTTCTGATACCAAGAAATAATCCAGTCGCCTATAAAAATTTTTATACATAAAATGTGGTATAAACAATTTTTGGTCAAACTATAAAGATGTATTATATAAATATATAATTATAAAAATATATTTATTATCTATTTTTTTATTGTCTAGTTTCATAAAAAATTCTGAAAAGACTTTTTAAATAATCAAGTTAAATACTAAAAATATATTCACCATCCAATATCCTTATTGCGCGCATTGGCAAAATACGACCAGAATGTGTATGCACCTTCTTTATCAGGATATAATAATCTGAATGTATCTACAAATCCAGCAGCTAAAAAATCTGTCATATCATCTCGCTCTTCTTTAGTAAATCCAGCATTCTTGGTATTTGTTTTTGGATTCTTTAAATCTGGAATATAATAGTGGCAAATTAATTTTAATGTTTTAATTGTTTTATAATAATGATTAATATTATGTTTAAAAAATTAATAGCGTTTTTGAGTGAACAAATTTTAATCGATCAAAGGTTGATTAATGTCATTATATTGTCTTCACCAATAAAAAAACTTGAATTTATAGTAAAATAATGATTAATCCGGGATAGATAAAAATCTGGTCACTCAAAAAAGCTATATTTTCTAAAACTGAAATTGTTACAATACTCATACCTATTTCTTGATGAGCTACATTCATGTCACCACATATAATGACAGGTTTCTTCTGATCTAAGTCCTCAATATATTTTTTAAACATCTTATTCCACTCCAATCTTTTTGGCAATGTCACTAACTTATTCCCAGCATTTGGCACATCTATTGAATTTTGAATTAATTTTTCTAAATTTTATGATTACAATTTACATATTAAATATAATATTGAAATAGTAATATATAACTTACAAACATTAATAAAAAAAAATTGTGAAAATTCCGCTGCAATTATTCTGCCTTCACTATCAAATTCAGGATTGTTTAAACCATATTTTATAGAAATTGGTTTTTCTTTACAGAGCAAAGCAAGTCCACAATAACCTGGCTTCTTGCCTATTAAAATACATTTTTATAACACATATAATGGACATTTTTATAAATTATATATTTGATTTATAATTAATTTATGACATAACGTTTAAATAAATCTTACTGTCAAGAAAATAATTATGGTATCCAGGCAGTTTGATATCATCTGGCAATTTATCTTTGTCACATTTTGTCTCTTGCAAAGCAACGATATCTGCATCTTCTTTGATGATATAATCCATTCCATTTTTCTATATCAATATTATAAATATTAATACAGAAAAATTATTACAATACATTATACATTAATACAAATTATCAAACACACTTTAATGACAGCTCTGATTCCAGAAACATTCCAAGTACAAATTTTCAGATTATACTTTTTTCCTTCTTCATTTGATTTTGTACATTCAAAATCTATCTCATTCAAGTTTGTATCTGTCTTATTCTGCATTTGTTTGGGTTCATTCTTTGCCTTCTTTGTGGAAGATGAGTTGCTTTCATTGACATTTTTTGATGCCTTCAATTCCTTTTCAATATTTGTTCTCTTTGGTGCAGGTTCATCATTTGCATCATTTGCACGTTTTGGTCTTGAAGATTTTTTTTCATTCAATGTTTCTGTTTTTTTACCAGATTTAGCTTTGGTAGAATCAATCTAATTTAAAGAAAAAATTAATTAACCTTTTATATCAGATACATATGTATCTTATTATGTTGTTAATGATGTTATTATGTTTTATATACAAAAAATTGATTTGTACTGTATTAGGTTGTACTATTCACAATATTGGCAATTTTATGTGATATAACCTAAAATAATACAATTAGACTAATATTTAAATATATGAAATATTAGACAATTATACTTTTATTTCTGCTACATAATATAACAGCATTTGCTTATACATATTGATTACAAAGATTAATTTTACATATAGCTATACCTTTGCTTTTGGACCTCGTTTTGGTGGCATATTGAAATCTTGTTCTTTTTGAAGAGAAGATACTAAGAAATATATAAAATAATGTTGTTTCAGTAAACATACAGAATAACTAACAAATTATGCCAATGCTTCCAAATAATCTTCCAGTTCAACAACATTGATATTGTAACAAGTGAAAGATGCTGAGTTTACCTGTTAAATATTGATTTGTCCGGAAAGTTGTTATTAATATTTCAGAAACATTGCGCAGTAAATTTTTATTGATCACAGTCATAATTTGATTATTAATTGCGAATAATTGGCTTGAATGTTCTTGATCTTTGAGATTGACATTTTCAATTTTAAATTGCGCAAACCACTTGCTAACAGTTCCTTCAGTTAACACATCTTCATACACAGCACATATCTTTTTTGTCATTTGATTGGCATTTTTACCTTTTCAGAAATAATAAAAAGGGACAAATGATAAAAATAGTTTTTATTTTCTACATTTCTTTACAACAAAAAAAACAAAAATAAATTTGTCAAAAAAACTTGTTACGTTAAAAATGTCAAAATCTATTTTCTATTGTGTGTTATTTGTAAAGCCAGATATTGAGCCATAATTTTTCTTACCTACCTAAAAATCGCATCAATTTTCCAGACAACCCAATATTTACAGACATAAATGCATAAATACAATTTATCTTTGTGATGCTGAAACCTAAATAAATTTTCAGTTTTAGCATTGAAAATTACAAAAATCGCAAATAATACTCTAGAATTGTAATAACTAAAAAAACGTTTGTCAATATTCTGCTTTTAACCGGCAAGTACATAGCCTAACAACTGTGCCTACCTTCATTTATCTTGTCACTTTATATAACACAAATTTTCGTAATCAAGAAGAATCAATTCTAGCGTTAATTTACAATATGAATATAAATTTCCATAACATTTTTTTCGTACAAACCTATATAACTCCCAGACGCGTGACCGGCAAACACGTAATTAAGCGTCTGTGATGCAGCTCCTATACAACTTTAAATTTAGTGCCTTTTAGCTCTACGCAATATATGTAATGCAGTATAATGGACAATCCATACTACGCCCAATGTTTCATGTACGGTATCCGACATCTAATAGAAAGACCTATTTAATTATGATCTATTTTTTATTATATAATTAAATTTAAACGCGAAATATATATATTTTTAATCCATAATTGTAAATATGTAGCATAAATAAACAGCAAATGACGATGTCACCAATAGTCGAGAAATGAATGTTACTATGTAGTTTTAGTTGTGAAATAAATGTAGATGGCAGTATCAAAAAAAAGCTTGAGAGCGTCGTACAAAAATGCGTAAGTATTCGATTTTCTATATTGGCAGCAATGTCGACAATTGACAAGAAGGAAGAATCGGGCAACAAACGGAGAACCTGTTGTTCGCAGGAGAGGATTGAGGAATGTAGACTCGCCGCGAATTCCATCATGAATACCAAAATAAATCCGCAACATACGACGAATTCGTATAACGGAGGTGAGCACAGTCTGGTTTCGCTTGATTTTTACACGTTTTCTCCAAATTGCTATCATCCTGTCACGAAAAACGCGCGCACGCAACATCCGTAGGCAATAAATTGAAAAACCGTCTGCTGGGCGTCCTTATGGCGTCTGCTATTAAACCAAAACAATTTTTATTCAGCGTATGTAGAAACGTTTTACCATATTACTTTATTTAAAATATCACAAAACGCTATCAAATGCGAATTTTGCAAATTATTAATCAGTTTGACAATAATTTGGAGTACGTATGTTGGTTTTAAAAATGTTTTGATTACTGATAATGAGATATATGAGGTATCTTTCATTTTAATATTGGCATATGCGTTTTATTGAAAAGAAAATTTATTTTATATAATTTTTTTTTCAAGAATGACAAAAAGAAAGAAGTGAAATTTATTGTGGACAAACAATTATAATTCTATCTTATACTTATGCCAAAGTTTTTGTAAAATATAGAAATATATACTATAAAGATTACTTTTTTTCAAAATTTAGAGTTTGTAATACAAATTTGATTATGTAGATAATAAATATAATTTAATATTATTTAAAAAGACTAAATATAAATATTATTACAGATACTATAGGAAGGGACAGTCCATCAGCATTGTTAGAAGTGCTTGCAGAAGTTGCATCTCAAACGTTGCATTCGGAAAAGAAGCGTATTAATTCACTGCTGACATTGCAATGCAAATCTGCAAAAGTAGCAAGTGTAAAACGGAAGGAATCATGCTTTACTGTATCACAGCTTCTATCCATGCCTGTTTCTCATCTTGTTAAACAGTTTACTATTTTTACAAGTGATGAGCTCAAAAAACAATATTCTTATACTTGCGCATTAGTGCCTGATTGCCAAAAAAAATATACCAGCTTTGCTAGCGAAGAAAAGGCAAGAGTGTCCATTAAAAATCATTTAGAAGAGCATTTAGAATATTTAAAAGCAGATAAAGAAACTTGTACGTATTAGCAACATTTCTTTTAATATGTTAACTTTCAAATTTCTGGTGAAATGTGTAAAATGATATGTAAATGTATGTAATTTTGAATATTGTTAATGGAGTTTTTTTACGTTATTACAGATGATACATTTATAGCAAAAAGTGTAAACCATAAGAGTTTGAAGACTAATTTGCAAAGTAAGAAAAATCGGGTGCAGCAGACAAAGAAACCTCAAGAAACATTAAATAAGGAGAACAAAGATGTGATAGTGGAAAAGTCTACAAATTATTTCCGTAAAATACTTTTAAATGATATAAATATCAAAGAAAACGAGAAGCAGAAATGTTTTCAGAAATTGGAAAATAAGGAAACGCACAATTCTGAAATGAAGAAATCTGAGCAAATGGATACTAAAGTTCTCGGTGATCACAGTTATTTTGAACGATTAGAAGATGACATACCTGATAAGAAAGAAATGTCATCTTTTAATAATGTTCTTGATAATACAACGGGAGAAGAACATGTTAGTAATAATTATAAAAATATACAATTTATATGAGAGATATATATTTAAAAGAAAAAGGGATTACAAAGTGTAAAAAAAATACATTATAATTTTTAAAACATTACACAGTCTAATGCAAACAAAATATATAACATTTTAAAAAATGTTTAATTTATTTGTGTATTAAATATTGCTATGTATTTATGTGTATAAAAATATATATATGTTTTTTTCCAGATTGTATTAATGGTTGTTGGCACCGATAGTGTACATACGAAAGAATATTCCCACGTCAACCAAAAACTGGCTGAAAACACAAATCATCAAGATTCCGATCTCTGTTCCTCAGGTATGTTCTATGATTCGTACAAAATTAGATATAAGACTCTCACAATTAATGCTATGTGAATATATTATGCTCAAATTCGTTAAATCTTTGAATGTTATATTTATGTATGCACAAATTTATGGTCAGATGAAACACGGATCAGAAACATGGAAATATCCAATACGACCAAGCCTAAAGGAAAAGCAAAGTTTATTGGCACAAGTAAGGAAGAAAGGGAAATGGCACTAGCATATATAGAGCGAATTAAGAAGAAGGGCAATCCTACAGGAAGCAATCTTCAGTGTCGCATTTGTGATCCACCTCGTAGTTTCACAGCGCCTACGACTTTAGTGTCTCATTATCGGAGTCACGCTGGAATAAAACCATATGAATGTCGAATATGTAGAGCGGTCTTTACGAGAAGACACAGTTTGAAGTACCACATGTTGATTCATCAAAACCAAACGCGCTTCACGTGCACAGATTGTGGAAAAAAGTTCAGGCATCCATCACACTTTAGGGAGCATCAACGTAGACACACTGGAGAAGCACCATTTGGATGTGACGACTGTGGACAACGGTAAAAATAATTCTTTAATAATTAAGATATTTAATGCTCCTTTCTCACAAAACATCAGTTTAAACCTAAACAATTTTAATTAAATTGTCTTCTACAAATCCAAATGAATTAAATTCTTGGTATCTTTGATTCTATTTTCATGAAAAATGAAAGAAATTAATTGACGCTAATGGTCTTGTGATTTGTGCGATATTGATATTGTCTTTTCTTCAGATTCAAAACGAGAAATACTTACAAACGTCATCTAAAGACACGACACGGGAAAATTCTCACGACGGTTGGGGAAGTTTTTCATCTGTCCGAAGAAGATTTTCAGAAGGTTCGGACCAATCGAAGAAAGAAGGATTGTATTCCGGAAGCTATAATGAATGTGGATGACGTCGCGTCCAATGTAATCGTGGACTTTGGAAATCACTATGACAAAGCGCAGGCTGTCACAGATCCAGCGGAAGAATATGTTCTGAAAGAGGATATTGACGATATTGACAGTAACTGGGAGACGAAAGGTACAGTACAAGTTGTTGATAAATGTTTTGAGACTTTTGAGATTTACTCGGAATCTCAATTGAATAAGACTGATGGTATAGAGACTGAAATAGCTATAGATTGTAGATATCCCGACAGCAACATCGAGATGGAATGTATTAACGATGGACAAAATGGCCTACTAGAATTGAAAAATTCTTTTTACAGTAATTTAAAAGTAACCAATAATGAAGAAGAGGAAATTGCTTATCAACATAACATTGAAGATCAGAACAAAACTTTTGATTGTAGTAACGAAATAAGTTGCGAATACTCTGAACTACATTGCAATAACGAAATTGTGAAAGTGGCAGAAGACGAAGACGTAACAACGCATGAAGTAAATATAGATTTTTCAGAGGAACAAAATAGAAGCAGTTCACATGTAATGCAGAAGCCTACACACGATTATCATTATCAGGGAGTATATGACAATGATATGCAAGAAAAGTTCGATCCATACGTTTTAAAACATTTAAAAACAGAAGAGGTGGAAACTACAAGTTCCGAGGAAAATAATCAAAAGCACGATGAAAAATACAATACGCACCTTATTATCACAGAGGACAATGCTGTAAACGAAAAATTCAATAAATATGCCAATAGTTTCGATATCGAGAACAAAGAATGTGCAGGAAATAATATTGCCTTTTGTGCGCAGATCGCAAATACGAATGTCAATATTCAGCAAACGATCGATGAAGCTGAAGAAGAAGTTACTCCGCAAAACAATACACCACAGGAAAACAAATGTGTATGTAAATATGTCGCGACCGATTCGACAAGAATCGTAAATGTCTCTACAAAAGAGACAAATATGAAGGTTGATGAACAAAATAATCGTTATTTATACATTCATACTGAGCCGTTGAATAAAATCACGCAAAGTAAATGCAGAAACATGCCTTATAAAATCAAGTTGTGTCGCGATCAACAAAATCAATTGCAAGCGAAAGAGGACAGCTGTAAGAAAATTAAAGTTTTAAATGGGAACTTACGAGCAATTAATATAAAGCAATCTGAAAAACAAAATGCAATTTTGCTTGTGTCTGATGATAATTTAAAGGATGGCATTTTTCAAATTGACAAAAGTAATATTTCTGTCGAAGGTCTAAAGAGATAGATGATACACAATTTTTACAGTAATAACAATATTTGTACAATAAAATACAGTGTACAGTTTAGTGTTAATCATATTCGGGATATATTTTGTACTAACGTAGCAATGCTAATAGACATTGATTAAGATATATATGCAATAATTCTTGTAACATATAATAATCCTAGAAAGAAAAACATAAAAAAAAAAACATTTTTCTCTCGCTTATGTAAATATTTGGAAGGCAAACCCAAGTAGAAATAATTTTATTTCTCCGCTCTGTTACAATGAAATGAACGGACTAATGAAAGTTTCCATTTAATTTTTCTGCAGACTATTAAAAGAAATGAAAGTCGATAATATAGGCATTTATATGTTTTATAATTAAAGACTTATTTGTGCAATTTTTAAAAGAAACGTCACTACGAAGTATTGAGGTAAGCTGACATTAACACCAGTTATTCGCATTTATTAATTTTTGCGTTTAATATGAAATTTGTCCAGAATTTTATAATCTTTAGCGTTTTATTCTCACATATACAAATTATGTGACTTTATTTATAGTCTCATTTACTTCTCTTGTTAGGGAAGATCTTACTAACTTGTATTTAATAGCAATCATAAAAATATGATGGAGTGCCAAATATACGAAAGCATGTTAGCAATTGCATATTCTTAGCATAGTTAAAAAAATAAAAAAAAATATTATTATATA